AGCACCCTGGAATACCATGCCTGTCCTCGTCCTGTGAGGTCAGCAAGGACTCTGGCCTTGCACTGTGGCCATCTTGCCGTGCACACTGCGCCTGCAGCCCAAGCTGGAGTGAAATGTCACATGAGCTGTCCTCATGGAAGTGGAAGCACGGAGGCGGCCTGACCATGAGCTCCCGATCAAGGGAGTGGCCAAGCACTCAAGGTTTGCTTGAGGAGTGAGGCTCCTGTAGTGTCCAACACAGGCTCCCAGAGTGACCAACTCATCAACTTACCTCCTCATCCTGGAGGTGATGTCCCAGAGGGACGACAGGGACTTTCAGCCTAAGACAGAGAGGCCAGTTAGCCTCCGGGAGCTCCTCGGGAAGATCCTGACTCAGCAGGTTTGAGGTGGAACCAGGAGTCATTGGCCCTGATTCCATTGTTCACAGGAGGTCACCACACACCTGGTACTGCTTGGGTGCCCAAATGCCATTGGTTTGGAAGGCTCCAAGGAGAACATCCTGTCTGTCACCAAGGCTGCCTAGCTCGCAGCTGGCAGCACAGCTACCTTCCTGCCATGCTTGTCACCCTCTCCAGGGCGTCCAGGCAGCAGATGGCCGAGTCTTTCTCTCTTTCTGGAAGATGAAAAACAGGGAGCGATCTCCTTTCTGTGCAGCCTCTCCAAGAACAGGCAAAAGGAAGTCACAGACAGAGAAATGGCCCCGTTTCCTAGGGCCTTGCATTTACCCTGAGGGGCTGACTTTGAGTGGAGAAGTTAGTCACTGGTTCCTTGTTCCTTCAGGTCCCAGTGCCTTAGCCTCCACTTGCTGTTAGGAAATAGAGGAGAAACACTCTGGCACCCCTGGAATGCTGTACTTCGCCCCAGAAATGCTTCTGTAAGTGGGGTTCTTTTTATGACAGTGTTATAGCCACAGCCCCCTTATAGTCAGCGTCATAGTCCAGGCAGGTTACTATAACAAAATACCATACATAAAAAAAAAAAAAAACTTACAAAGCACAGAAATTTATTTCTAATAGTTCTACAAGCTTCAAAGTCCAAGGTCAACAAGCCAGGAACTCCTGCCTCACACAGAGGAAGGCTCTTTTCTAAGTCCACCAACCCTAGTAACAAAGGTTCCACTCTCACCCTAAGCATTTCCCAGAGGCCCCAGCTTCCAATGCCACCATCATGGCGTTAGAGTCCACCAGATGGGGTTGGTGGAAGAAGAGGCTGACACAAGCATTCGGACTACATAGCAGAGGAGCTGTTCTCGGAAACTGCCTCTGGGATGAGACATCATAGTTTTTCAATCACCACTTTAACTGGAGGTTCCTTAAAGCCTATACCTCCCTTCCAAAACCCCCAACCATAGATAGGGAGAAAATGGAAAGGGGACTTAGCACTCTTTACTTCTTCCTGCTGGATAGGGTCATAGGATTCTTTTGGGGGTAATATCAATCTCAGTCATCAGGTAAGCCAGAAGTCCAGGTAACCAGCAAACAGCAGGCTCAGCAACATGACGAACCAGCAGCAAGCAGTCCTCCTCCAACTCCTCCAAGTGACCGCCGTCATGTTTATCCCCCTCAAAGTCCTCACCATTCAACTAACTCCAGCTGTCAAAGACCACGCTCCACTCGAGACAATTCACAGGCCCACAGGATTATAACAAAAACATGTTTACATATCACAAGCCAAAACATCCACAACAAGACATGGTTACCTGGAAAGTGCCTTCCAATTCCTCGAATAAAACCCAGATGAACTTGGAGGATACTATCTGCTTGCAGGTTAGACAGTGTCTACATGATCCAGCCCTCGGAGCTGCCTGCAGAGGCCAGAAGCAAAGCCCAAGACCAGACTCCAGGCCCCACATGAATCCAACAGTGGGGACCCTTCAGGCAGACTTCCCCATTGGAAGGCTGAGCACCCTCATCCCACAAGCCAGTGGCCACAGATGTCAGGCTCCTGATGGCACAGCCATGGGTCCAGGCATGGACAGACTGGCTACGAAGACCCTGATGACCTTCGGGCACAGTCGGTTTCCCTACTAAACAGAAACTCAAAGGCTCCATTGCAGAGCTCTGGACTGTGAGACGAAAAGCCATTGTTGGCTACTCTTGTCTTCACTGAGGTGGCCCAGTAAGGTGTGGATTATGCTAACTGGAAGATGCTTGGGGTTGGCAAAGCCCCCAGGAAAGGTCGCTCAGGGTTAGGCACTCGGCTGTAGCCATGCAGCCAAGCGAGCCACACAGTCTTACCCTGCAGATGCTAGGGCAGTGACTGCCACCCACGTCACCTTAAGAGGCTGAATGTTCAGATGCACGCCCTGTCCTCAGATTTTACTACATGTTTGATACTTAGGTTTGTGGGCAATCACAACAAACAAAAATAGACTTGCTGTTTTAAACAGGGATTGAACATGGAGGATTCCAGGGCCTCTCACCTAACGCATGGGTGTGCAGTCTTGGATGCTGGTGTCTGGGGCCGTCCTCCGGCCTGCTCTCCGACAGGGCGGCTGGGACTCCAGTGTGACATAGACCTGAGGTGTGAGGTGCCACCTACCCACACCGCTCCTTTCTTTTTCAAATATGCACCCACGGAGCATTTCCAATTCAACACCTCCCTCCCTCGGCACATTCCTGAGCCAGACAGAAACGAGCTGCCATTTCCCAGTGACTGTCCCAATTCAAAGAGGACACACAGGAACAGATCTGGACTTGCCGACCCCCTGGAAACCACACAAAGCCAGGCCTTGCATGGAATGAAGTGTTCCAGGGATGGCTAAACCTGTGCCTGGATCCCCACAGGCCTGTGGCAAGGCCCGCCCCCATGCCCTCGGTTACATGCACATTGTTCGGAGCCAATGGGAGACACACCGCCGAGCCTTATTCTGACCCTTGAGCCCATGGAAGGCAAGTCTGCCATATCCCACGCCCACCCCGACTCCTCCTGCACCTCACCTTCTTTCTGGGAAGGAAGCTAAACACCCTCCTGGCAGGACAGCTAAGACACATGTACAAAGGCACAACATAGGTATAACTCCTACAATCGACTATTAGACTACCTGTTCCGTCTCACGCACGAGCGCACACACACACACACTGAGTTTCGTTCATCCTCAGTGCACACACACACACACACACAGACACAGACACACACAGACACAGACACACACACACACACACACACACACACACACACACAGTCTCTCTGCAGCAGAAATTATCCTTCCAAACTTGCTGTACCTAAAAGGCAGGGAGGGCAGCCACACAGATGTGCACAGGCCGGGATACCACTTTTCAGAGCACGCACCCAGAGCGGTCTGACAGCACCCTGCTAACAGAACCTCCAGAGCGTTGTCCCTTGAGCCTCAACCTCTGCTGAGGGGGAAGCTGCTCCAGGAGCAGACTTGGGGCCACTGAGAGGCCAGATCACAGCAGACCATCACGGAGGCCATGGCCCACGTCTGTGGACCTGGAGACAGGCAGCTAGGGGGAGTGGATGCTTGCAGAGAGAGCTTGGAATCCAGAAAGGATGGGGTCCTGAATGGGGCTACTCATTCACCAGTCACAAATCCATAATCATGACTTCCTTCCCACAGGCCTTCCATTTGAAACAGTTTTATCTACTTGGTTCTGGAGGGTTCTAGAAGGTAAAGGGCTGCGGAGGATCTTCCTAGCAGCTCAAATGTACCTGATCAGGGCTGGTTTTTCATTTTTGTTGTTGTTATTGTTATTTTTCTTTAAACAAGAAGTGGAGACTGCAGCCTCACCTCTGCCACTGTGTTGTTAAACTACTTCAGCTCAGGCAGCAGCTCCTTAGACAAAGAAGGAAAGGCGACTCCGCAAAAGGAGCCTGTAATGGCGACTCCCCAAAAGGAGCCTGTAATGGCGACTCCCCAAAAGGAGCCTGTAATGGCGACTCCCCAAAAGGAGCCTGTAATGGCGACTCC